CAAGTGTTTTGATTCAAACGGATGATTTGGATTGAACATAGACTATGATATCTGTCACACCCCAAACCAAGGATGGCGAAAACGTTCGGGGGTGGAGGACTTCATGTATAGTATCATAACCACAATTGCAATAGTAATTTAAGCAAACACAACCAACATATATATAATTGAAAGAGTTACATCATTGTATGTGTTACATGTTTCCAAATAAATTACAATATGTTAACAAAACATGAAATGTTGACGCCTTAATGTCCCATCCTCAAAATGCACTTTGATACCTATTTAGTGATTTCTTGAGAATACAAGTTGTTTGAAAAAGTGTCAACACAAAGGTTGGTGAGTTTGTAAGCTTTTGTTTTCAAACTTGATAAAATAGTTTCTCTTGTAAATGTCATGTTTGTTTCTAAAAAATCCAATATTTTCCTTAAAATGTGTAATGTAGTCTTATATCCAAAAACCAAAATGTATAAGTAACCTCTCTTACCAATAGAAAATGATATGTGTTTAAATCGACATAAACACGTTTGAATTAAGTGAGATTCCCGTAAATTATTATGTTTGTTAATACTTTCTGTGAGTTCATTATAACCATGCTATGACCTAGTTGGCCTGAAACGACTTTCTTCAGGCGTCAGAAATGTTTATGACATTTGTCACTCCAGACCTACCGGTCTAACTGTTGCATGCAGTTAAGGTGTGGGTTTTTCAAACCTAATATAGATCTATATACAACTATCATGCTCTCCCTCCAGGAGACTCTGGTTACAATACCGGACTTAATGGTAAGTGTGAAGTGAATGTTTCACCAAGTCTTTAACAAATTTACGTGTAATGAAATGAAAATCCCTTATAGTATAAATGTACACTTTTTGTATGAGTGTGCTATGTAATGTATCATAAACCATACCTATTATAGTTTATCAAAACAAGGGTAGTAATGGTAACGTACGTAAACTATATTTAATGTAGTTCATTCGATTGTTTGAGTAAAATGGATGTACTTTGATTATAACAATCATTTTATGCTTTATATTTCATATATATCTATATAAAAATCTATTTATTAACTGATGCATGTTCATATACCAAGATAAAATATCATTCATTTGTAATAACATACATTCACATAAGGATATACACCTTGCTCAACATGTTACAAGGTGATAATAGTATGTTAGCATTTTTTTGTTAGTAACAACTTCGATCACTGTTATTAGAAAATTTATAAAAACCTCATAATAGATCCAAATCAAAATCCGTAAATTCTGGGAGTTTGGTTTATGAGTCTAGTTTGTTCATAAATGTTTCCATGATTTTTAGTGACCTCCAACTTAGGTGAAAACGTCTATAAACACAGACTGGTCCGAATTGGTTCTTAAAATGATAGGCAGTTTTGTAAAAATCACCATAAATTGTAGAAAAATCGTATGGAGATGTTCAAGTAGCCATTTTAAATCTAACAACTTGAAATGCTTGCACCTTGTATAGTTTTGAAAACAAAAATGTTTTAGTTGACCAAAACAGTCCGTGAATGGAGTCCAACTTTTTTGATGTAAGATGTTATAAACATTTAGTTGTGTTCTTGATGATTTAACTTGTATTCTCCCCCTTAAAACATAAGAAAATATGAAAATGTAGGGGGTATGAACTCACCTTGAGTGATGTCAGTAGATGGATGATGGAGAAATGTAGTATTCCACTCAAGAACACTAAGAAGATGCCTTGAAGGTTCGAAGATCTATCACTAATGTGATGGAATTTGTGTAAGCAATCTATGATTTGGAGTAAGAGGAAGTGAAATAATTATGTGGAGGATGAATATACTTACCAAAAGTGGGAGAAAACTTGGAAGAAGGCCCTTGAATCTAGAATTTTTGTTGAGAGGATTAAGAGAGAAAAGTGTTTAATCTTTGGTGAAATGAAAGCAAGTGAGTGAGAATGAGGAGAGAGGATGAGTGTCCATCTCTAAAAATGTGGGAATAACTTGTGAGAGAGGTAAAAAGTACAAGGAAGTGACAAGGTATGGTGGGGAGGAGTGTGGGTTAGTCATGGAGTGGGTATGGTGGTTGCTTGTGTCATAATACAAAGAAAAGTCAACACTCAACCTTTGTACTTCACCCACTCTTCTTGGATAAGGTTTTATCCCCAAAAACATGATTAATCAATAATTAGGGCCTTGTATGTTAAAATAAAGTTTTGGGTGAAAATCCCGCGTTAAAACGATGAAAAACGAAGCTAAAATGAAGTCGTGGTCGAAAAACGGGAAAAACTTAGTTTTCTGCGAGGCCTCTCGGTCCTGGCCAAGGTTCGATCCTCTTGATGCTAGGCGCGAAAGCGAAATGGACCGAAAGCAGAAAGAAATGAAGTTAAGGTTCGGCCGAAGGGAAGATGGAGCGAAATGGGGCGAAGGCGAAATGGACCGAAGGGTTCGGTTCCCTGGTTGCGAGGTTCGGTCTCGAGAGGACCTTCGGGTTCGGGTCTTGTGCGAGGTTCGGGCCCGAGAGCACCCTTCGGGTTCGGTCCTCTTGGTTTCGGTTCAACGGCCTTTAGGTTTGGTTCTCTTGGTTTTGGTTCAGCAACCTCTGGGTTCGGTCCCTAAGAGGACATATGGCCCTAAGAGGGTTCAGCCCTAAAAGGGGGGTTTCGGGTCTTTTAGGGTATTTTACCTGTTCTAACTCCGTTTTAAGCGATTTTTGACCCGGTTAAGGGTTGGAATGACCCGAATGACTTCAAAAAGTTACAGGAACTATTGAGAGAGATTTGGGAAATATTTCAAATAGAAAGAGACAGAGTGAAAACGATTTAGAGAGGTTTCGTTTGTGACCTTTTTGAGTGTCCGACTTTGCAATGCAAGGTTTGTAAACCCCATTAAGTCATGTTTTAGTGTCTTACACACTCCCGATGAGTGTGCATTAGTGTTTTATCGATTTGGTTCATTGTTTACCACATTTAAGGCTTAGGAAAAATTCAATCACACAAATTTTCCAAATGATGTTTTCTCATTAAAATAACGGGTTGTTTAGTAAATACACAACGTAAACTCTAATACGCAAGGGCTAATTGAGTCGTCCGGTTTGACTTGTTGACTTTGTCTTGACCCGAAATTGACTATTGTCACAATATCCACTTATATTACAAGTCTTAAAATAGTTGATGTTTACACGAGCACATAATTTCCTAGCTAAAAATGCTAGTTGTGACGAGAGTAGCATGGTTCATTTGGGTTGCATGGAATCAGAACAATTTGGATAGACTTTTGTGAGAAGATGATATTTATGATTTATTAATATATTATAAGTTCTAATATATTAATATGAAATCATATTATTTAATTAGTATTGATCAACAATTAGTTTGGAATTAATTTTGCGATTAAAAGAGACTAATTAAATAAATGGGGATTGATTTGGTAAATCATTCAATCTAATATAGTGGGCTTATGATCCATAGTTCTTCATGTTGGGCTAAACCCATGTGGTGACCCATGGATGCTCCATGGAGGTTAAATGGATCATAAGGAATATGGATAGTCATGAGTTACATGATGTAACCTTAATGTACACACTACATAAGAAGCGTCATAGTTCATGAAATTGGGACTAGTGGATACATAAGTGAGGGCTAGCCGATTTTGCTATAATATAATCTTCTCTCAAGTTTACCAATTGTTTGTGGTATTGTGTGATTCCATTTGAGGTGCAACACTTGGGGAACAAAGTTCTTAAAGGTCCAAGGCTTCCAACTACAAGAAAAGGTATGTTATCTAACTTCGTTTATTACCCAAGTATCAAAGTTTGTATGCTAGTTAGGGTAATACCTTGGATAGTTCATGTTTGCATGTATAATAGAGAAAACATAGATCCAATGTATTTAGGGTTACATGTACACCTTAGGATTGTAAGAATGCTTAAAACCCAACAGCGGTATCAGAGCCTTGGCTTGTTTTTAATTATACTTGATGCTACTTGCTTGAAACTGCTTTAAAAATCGATTTTCTACTGTTCTGGACAGTGGGCTCTCCGTGTCTACTGATGGACTCACCAAACCCAAGCACAAAACAGCCCAACTCGCTGAGTTTGGTCATAAACTCGACGTGTTGGAGCCCCAGACAACAGATTTTCGATGTTTTTGTTTGGAATTGGACTAGGATCATTACCTTATGCTGTTTTTGAACTTATAAACCTGATTTTGATGTGGTAACTATCATGCTTATCCAATTTAAAAGATAATTGTCAAAGTTTCACTACTAGAAAACAAACCTTTAATGATGCGGTTTTTACGACACACGATAATTAACGATACGCAAAAGGACGTGCTCTTAAAATAGTGTCATCTCTCCAAAAAATTTAAGGATTTACGTCACACTTTATTGTGTGCCCTTAATTTAGTGTCTCAAGAAAAAGAATTAAAAACACGGAGGGCGCTTTATCTTAAACGTGTGTCGTCTGTACCTGTCGCTTTATAATTTTAATGAAACGCGCTTTTAGTGGACAAGGGGGGAAACGAAATCCCCAAAATTTTGAAAATCCGCCTTGTTTTTTCTATCTTCTATCTATCTTTCATCTTGGCAATCACGACCATTCAACCTAACAAGGACGAGTATTACAGTCTTGATTTCCCTAATTCTTTCTCATTTTCTGATTCAAACTTGATAGAATCGAAAAAAAATCTATCAATTTTGAAGCCTAGAGAATCACAACAACCAACTTCATTACATCTTCATCTTATTCACATTACCACTTCGAATCTCCTACCATAATTTTCCCTCAGCAACAATTCTAGCAGCTTCGCAGACATGGCTCAAAAACCCAGATGGGGCGAATTGGAGGAAGAAGATGATGGCGGTGACTATGACTATTGGTTGCCGCCGAAATAGGTTACTGGACCTGACGAACAAGGGTTGAAAGTACAAATTCAACAACGAAGGTAATCGGGTTAAGATTACCACCACCACACGCGTCCGTAAAATCGCTAATGCTTAGCTGAGCAAGGGCGCCATGGAGAGGCGTTCTTGGCCTAAGTTCGGTGATGCCGTTCAAGAGGACGTCACCGCCAAACTCACCATGGTTTCTACCGAGGAAATCATCTTTGAGCGACTAAGGGCTCCAGGTACATCATCCCTAGATCTAAAATTTCATATAATTGTAACAATCCTTTATAATTATTTATGTGAAATTGTTAAGACATATTTAGTTGAAGAAGTTTGTTACTTTAAATACATCTAGCACTAGTTCTTTACATCAGGTTTATTGCCTAGATCAACAGTTTCAGTTGCAATTCACTATGCACATATCAATCATCATGACAATAGTCAACCACTACCGATTTAAAAACTTAGGAATCTATCTTAATTTCATTGTTGCTTGTTAGATATGCAGATTGTGAATGCGAAGTTTTGTCTTTTAGGTACAAAAGTTGAAGACTCAAATGCAGCTGGAGACCCATTAGCCCAAATGTCGAAAGGAGGAGATGTATTGATGGTATGCAGGACATGTGGGAAGAAAGGAGACCATTGAACCTCAAATAGCCCTTACAAGGACTTGGCTCAGCCTACCAAGTCCTTCTCTGAGAACCCAAACCCTTCAGACTCATCAGCCATGGGTGAATTTGGACTATGGTTCACATCATAATTGCACTAATTTTCTTACACTTAGAGACCCGATGATTTAGGGCACTAATTCTTGATTGAAGTGACCGATTAAGATAAATGCATTCAGTTCTTTCTTTTTCTTTTATTTGACAAGTTCCACCACATATAAACTTCATATGTGGGTTGCCCTGTTGCAAAGCTTGAAGGATGGGGACCTAAACGTGGGAGGAGAAACAAGAAGTAAGTTTGAATCTCTGTAGACTTCATTTGAGTGATTTAACCGTGGATATTATGTATGATAGCTTATTATGAATTCATATTTAGTTGTTTGTGAATTTTTACTACGAGAAAAACTTGTTGGCAACATGGTTTAAGTTCTTTTTCGCATCGATGATCAGGTTTACATTAGTTGATGAAATTTGAAAGAAAGAAGCTTTAACAAATTGGCCAGTTGAAGTTAGGTTGATAGTTTTCACATGTTTGCATGTTCTAGATCAAGTGTTAATAGAAGGAGAAATGGTTTTTTGATTGAATGTAATTTGATCTTTTTTCATCTTTATTGTTTATCAGTTTATTTTTATCTAGCGATTAATTTGTTGATAAACTTGTGGCTTCCAAATTCACAGGTCGATTTAAATAATTTGGAAGAGTACATTTCACTGGTGGTTGATGCTACTATCAAGACTGGTATCACAAGGAAATTGGAAGCATTTAGAGTTGGCTTTAATCAGGTCATCATCTTTTTACAACATTCTAATATGCTAAATTGTGTATGGAATTATAAAATATACAAAATAATTTTTTTAAGCTAATATTTTATCTTATTACTATCAGGTTTTTGATGTTTCAAGTTTAGAAATATTTTCTCCAAGTGAGTTGGATTATTTACTCTGTGGGCGTAGAGAAATGTGGGAGGTAATTTGCTCATCTTTTTTCTACTTAAACATAACATGTATTCTTTGTGAAAGTGATATGATGTAGAGAATTCATGTTTCTTTTAAATGCAGGCTGATACACTTGTGGAACACATAAAATTCGGCCATGGATACACATCCAAGAGCCCTGCAGTAATTAATGTGAGTAATTTATTTTTTTAGCGATATTCAGGGAAGATTTATAAATTTATAGTATAGTTAATATTAATAATTTTGTTTATGTCTCTTTGTTAGTTGCTTGAGATAATGGGAGAGTTCAATCCAGAACAGCAAAGGGCATTTTGTCAGTTTGTTACTGGTGCACCTCGGCTTCCTCCAGGTGGCTTGGCTGTCTTGAACCCTAAGTTGACCATTGTCAGAAAGGTAAAAACACCCCCCTCAACCACCCCTTGTTTTCAAAATTTTATCTAGGTGAATTATGAAATTGCCCCTCCTCAGTCACTAACCCTTTATTAATTACAACACTCTTCAAGCTCCAACAACACTGCATCAAATGCTGCGGATGGAGTGTCGGAATCTGTAGATGATGATTTTCCAAGTGTCATGACATGTGCCAACTACCTCAAGCTTCCTCCCTATTCAACCAAGGTAAACAAACTTTTCATTTCTTTCTATCACAAAGAAATGGTTTTTTGATTGAAGAGTATTGTTTTCCCTCTTCTCAATAAGACTTTGATGCACATATAGAAAAAAATGTCTGGATTTTAGACAAATCTGATTAGAAGTAGTTTTGAATCAAATTGATAAAGAAGTCACAGAACCCTAAATTATCTGGATTTCTTTTACACTTGAGTTATGATGTTTTGATGTCTAAGTCACCTTTATGTAATATTCTGTGTGATTTGGCCGGAATTGTAATTGGGATTGGAACTGGAATTCGATTCCATTCTAATCCGGCATCATGTTTGCAACACTGTCTCTTTACAAATAGTAAATACTCTAACTATCCTTTTAACCCTATATCTCACAAGTAAACATATCTCTTGCATTTCCATCTACTTTTCCTCTTCATATTGTTTACAAATTCCAATCTATTTCTTATCAACCAAATGTTTGAGAGAATCCAATTTCTTGAGATTCCAGATCCTTCAGATTCCAATTCCTTTGAATATGGTTCATTTATTTGTGTATATAGCATCATACTTTCATTTCTTTTTTTAATACATTCTATTTTCAATTTTTTTTCTTATCAAGGCATTGTATTTTGAAAACATTACCCAATTATAACATTCTTATTGTTTGCATTTACACTTCTTTACACGTCCCAATTTCAATTCGTTTATTTAAAAATTTATCATTTTAGGTTTTAGATTTCATTGATAACAGGTGAGACATGTGATATAGAAAGAATCAGCTAATAAAAATTAGATATTCACCTCTTTTTCTATATTTTGTACGATAATAAGATACAAAATTTGTATATTTAGCAGAAACTTTGACCAGGACTTGTTTTCAATCTCTTGTGTGTGCAAATGATGTAACTACCCCTAGAAAGTTTTTTAAGAAGAATAAATTGGAAGCAAGCATACCAGATCAACATCAGGATCTGAGGAAGGCACCATGACATTAACTTCAATTGCTTTAGCAGTTGTTATAGAAGTTTTGCCTTTTCTATTCAAAATTATAACTTAAAAACACCACCTGTTCCCTATTTTCTAGCTTGTATTATTGTTGCTGGCTTCCAAATGAGGCCTTAATTATCATAAACATTCTACTGTTAGATTTGGCCCTAATTTCTATAATAGCCAATGATAGAGGGGTAGCATATTGAACTATTTGTTTAAGAAAGACATTATATATTGTCCAATTTATATTTGAATTCAAGTTATGCATAATGTCAGTATTGTTGGATTAATAAATACATTATGCCTAAAGAATAAAGATTGTATGATGAAAGAAAGATTGTAAATTACCAACTATTGGTTTATCATCTACTGAGTTAACCTACATTTTTTTTTCTGTAGTTTTATCTTGTTTCTGATATAGCCGTTAAAGAACTCATTGCAGTTGCCACCAACAGAGAAGGTAAGCTATAATATGCCAAACTTGAATTACTTTTTAAGAAATAGCAACCTACTTTTAGTTATTTGTTTATTATATCAAACTTTCATCTCTTCCTACTACTACAACATTGAAAAAAAAATCACATTTTCATTGTTTTAATTGGATATATTGTAGCTCCCAAGATTTTAGAAGGCTATCAATTTGTTTTCTACAATTATAACGTTTTTTTTAATAGTTTTCAAATCTTGAAATGATTCGTTTAACCCTTAAAACACAAAAGCATATGATATGAAATTACCTTCTGTTCAAGCTTAACCTTCTTTCCTTCCCCAAGAATCTCCTGTAAAGTGTAAAACTTTACACATACAACATCAGAACACTTCATGTTGAAGTTGCAAGAAACAGAGAAATCAAAGCATCACTTGTGGTTTAATTCAGATTTTGGGACAAAAAGAGTCCTAGGGTTTTTTTTGGAATATTTAGTCTTTCTAACTTTTATGCGTAGTCCTAGGGGCTACAAAAGGTGTTGGTGTTAGTGATGAAAGCTTGGTTCAGATTCAAAAAGTGTTGTAGAGCTAACAAATGGTTCTTCAGGTATGCAATACTCTAGGCATAATTATAATATAAAACTATAAAAAATTTAATTTTTTGATATGTATTTTTTATTTTGTTTTGTAGAGGATACTAAAGAGAAAATATTGCAAAGGATATTTTTTGTATTGTTTTGCAGAGGATACCCCTCACATTTTCCCAAATTACCCCTTGCTCTACAATGTTTTTTTTGTTTCTGTGTATTTTGTGCATCAAGTAAAGTTGGTGAAAGAAAGGAATATGAAGCCACTTGATTCAAATCTTGCAGCATTATCAGCAAGATGCAGTAAAGACTTGGAGTTGAATTTGGCTATGTCATTCTTGAGTGAGAAGGGCCAATGTACAACTGCTTATCCATAGAATCACCTGCTTGGAGCATTAGTCTTAAAGAATTATGAAAGGCAAGATGCAACTTTACTTAGTTTGAATTTGATGTACATAGTAGATTAGATGCAAATTTAGATATTGTAAAAAATAGAATTGTATGACATTAAATTTTATGCAATGGATTGTATTTTTTGTATATGATATTTTATTTCTATTATTAGTCATTAAATGCAAATTTAATTTAAAAATTAATAAATATATAAATATTTTTTTAGAACATTTAAAATTATGATACACAAAAATGTGTGTCATCTTCATTTATGACATGGCCTTTCTTGACAGGGGCTTCCTTTATACGCATTGCGTGTCATAAACACGCGTGTCATAAGGTTACGACACGCAAATGCGTGTCATCTTCCTTTATGATAGGGCCTTCCTTGATACGCATTGCGTGTCATAACCACGCGTTGTAAATGCGCGTCGTCTATAGACGACACGCAAAAGCGAGTCGTCTCTCTTTATGACATGGCCTTCCTTAACGCGCATTTGCGCGTCATCTGAGCGTTTTACGACGCGCAATGAGCGTCGTAAAAGGCCTTTTTTCTAGTAGTGTTTCACGTTTTGTATTAGTTCATATGGTTAGGCTAATTACATGAAATTTGTTTGATATGAATTGTCTTGTGCTTATGAGTTTAATTTAGATCATAGACAAATTGATTGTTTTGTATGTCACAATTTTGATCTAAATAGTTTTTGATGAATTTCATAAATTGTCCTCAAGTTATGGAAAATGAAAAGATTTTCTTTTAAATAGACTATTAAACTTATAGGTTATGAAATTGAAGAGTATTTTTTTTCCCAAAAATGTTCTTATGAACTTCATAACTTGTCCTCAAGTTATAGTTTTTCAAGAGTCTTTTCATTTAAAACTATATTAAACTCATAAGTTATGGATTCACAAAGTTTTTGAATAGTTCAAAATTTGCCCTCAAGTTTTGGAATTTGTAAATATAAAAGTATAACTTTAGAAACATTTAGTTCCAAACCCTAAAATATTAAAAGCTTAAAATTCAATCCTTATACTATTATAATATTATAGGTTTAATATATATATATATATATATATATATATATATATATATATATATATATACTCTTACCGTTAGTAGACCTCATTCACGAATCTGGTCTATAAGGGGGGAATAAGGTTACTGCCTATAAAATGGCAGTTTAAGGGGTGTCCGATCTCAACCAATGCTTCCTTGACTGGTGGAGGATTGTTAGCCGAATGGTTAGGATTGGACTTTAATTCTCCCTTTATTAAAAGTATAATGATAAATATAAAGTAACTAAACACTTATAAATTCCCAAATATTAGTTACTTTAGGAAAATGTGAATATGGTGCTAACCCATGAAATTGCACTTTACACCTTGTTAAGCTGTAAGTGGAGCATGTGTGGTTAACCGACACACTAATCCGGACTGGTAGTGCTTGGAAAAGGGTAGCTTGATGTTAATCATAGATCAATGGAGCGTGTATGGCATTGATTAGGTGGTTGTAACATTGGGTGTGCCAAGCTAATTTGCGTGGTTATTCACACCTTATTTGTGATCCTCAACATCTCAGTCACAAACTTGATGGGCACACTTGAGATTTAAAATTACATTGAATTGTTTAATGAAATTCAAAGGATGTAGGAGTTTCAATTCACTTTAAACCTAAAAGTCTTTTTTTGTTTTTCTTGGTAGAAATTGGTAAATTGTCATTTACCTATCTTCAAATATTTTGCAGTTTGGATTACGACATCCCTCTACCAAATTGTAAAATATTGTGTTGGTTCCTAGCCTTAATATTTCATTTGGGTGTTATATTAAGGACTTCAATCAACTAACTTGAATTTCTCCCATTGTAGATATCTAGTTCAGACAACTATGGTCTTCCCAAAACCTTTGGAACATGCTTTTCTCTTGAAGATGATGTCCCGCGGTTGGATAGTGGTAGTAATACTTCTCTTCTTCCACCTCCTCCAATAATTCTCACTAACCCACAAGCTGAAAGACTTGATACATTCAAGGTCATTGGAGTCCTACTTGCAATGAAACATCAAGATGGAAGGCCTGTGTGTAGTCACGTCATGGAGATGAAGTCACATATTGACAGGCTGAGAGTATTGGGTGTCGAAGTCTCGAGGAAGTTAGCTATTGAATGGGTTCTTCAGTCACTTCCTGAGTCATATGGTGAGTTCATTAAGGAATACTATGTGATAGACCATGACATGGCCCTTATTGATCTTACCTATTTTCCTTTTACTGCGGAATCAGTAATGGTTTGGTGCACTGGAAAAGCAAATTGATTGGAAGATCTATTCCCCGAACTTCCATGGACATTGGCAATGGAAAAATTAGAAGTCCAGAAGAGATTTCTCTTTCCAAGGGAAAGAGAAAGGCTAAGTCTGAGATAGTCTCGTGTACCATTCCCAAAGAGTCTATGTTTCTACTGCCAAGAAAAGGGGCATTGGTTGTGAAGCTGCCCGGACTACCTGAAAGATTTGAGAAAAGGTAGAATCGAAAAGTTTGACTCTACTTCAGGTAAGTCTACTGTCTAAATCTATTAAGTTCCTAATTGTTAATTCTTAATACATGATGTGACAAGGTTTCATTTTGATGTTTTGTAGGATCATGCAAAGGGAAGGAAGCTTAAAGAAAGAGTATGTTGAGTCTGATCGCGAAGATGGATTTCAGTCGCATGGTTCGAAGATCGGATTTTTGAGCTGCTGCTTAGGAGTTATGATAGATTGCTAGGAAATATGTAATAGCATAGTTTTCATTTGAAATTGCATTTTAAGGAAAAGTTTTTTCCTCATTTTATAAATAAATAAAATTTTGTTTTTACTTTATTATATATCTCCTTACAATTGCATTTATGAAAAATTGATGTTTGTCTGTTTCTATGATGGCAATATGAATTTGATTCTTTCATTTGTGGTAGTGTCGAAGATTTTCCAAATAAGGAAAGATTCTCGTCATCCAAGTTTCAGTTGGATCGAAACTTGGAACCATGCAAGTTGAATTGTATGATGACTGAGAATTTTCATCTTTGGGAAATTAGGACTAATTCCTTGTTCACATGTATATGTGAGTCAAGTGCAGGATTAGAGGATCGGGTACACTAGGTGTGTGTTGGTCATGACTCACCACAAAGATCAATAAGACTATTCATCATGATTTACGAAAGTTTAGTAAACATGGTTATGCTTACAAGTTTAAGTATAATTCTGAAACATTGGGAAAGGGTTCAATGTATGCAGAGTGAATGAGAAGAATCAAATTAGGTAGAAAAGAAAGATAAAAGTTTCACCAATCTAAAGAGATGGGAGAGTACTTTAGTATCGTGTTTTATGACTATCTTAATGATTATGAAAAAACCATGTCATAATTGATCCTCTAAGAATATCTTAGTGTATTTGTATGGCTAAGAAAAGGAATTGTGAATTGTTGAAATGGTTAAATCAAGATGATGAGTCATACTTCATTTCCAAAAACAAGTCTTAGAGTCATACTCCAAGATTTCGTGTTGAGTGACATTAAATTAAGAAGGTTTATAACACTCATCAAATGTAGAGTAATATATTTCTTACTCTTGCACATTTGAAATTGATATGTTGTGATGTTTTGGATAGAACAAAGACCAACTAAGACCAAATTATGTGAAGTGTTTTTCTTGATAAGAATCCGCACCAACTCTTGAATATTTGTTTGTCAAGGATTGGTTCTTGACACGAGAGTCTAAAGAGGTCAGATGGAGTCTTAAAGATCTTGAGAAGTTTCAAGAACTAGTTAATAATAAACCTATTGTTTATCACTAGCACACAACTTAAGGTCTGTAAGCTATAGTGTTGACATATTCTTATTTCTGTGCTCAATTCCAATTAAAAGTTGGTTATGTATGTGATTTCTATGAGTTCTCGAATGTTTGCATAACAACTTGGAAGACCTGGTAGGCCCTTGTGCTGCTAAGTGCTAGAAATTAATATTGAACAAGTTCAGTCCATATGATTTTGGATTTGTTACTAACCTTGTATTGTGATTATGGTTATGACAAATTCACATGGATCGGAACACATACACCATAAAATCTTAGTGTCATAAGGTTTCCCTTTGATTCATGAAAATGATGGTGAGGAAACACTTTCACTAAGTAGATTTTAAGGAGATAGCACATGTGATATTTGCATTCTCAAATTTTATTATGATTACGACATCCATTTTCATAATTCGAATTTATGAGGAATGTCAAAAGATCTAAACATTTGAGACTTATTGTTGTAAGCTCTAAAATTGTTTAGACACACATGTGAGCTATCTAAGTAAAGGTGTATGGGTTTGAGAAGCCTAGATTAAGTCTTATCGAAGCATCTCGTATAAGAAATCTGAACTTTGGTAATGAAAGTCAATAAGTATTGTTTTCTAGAAGTCTAGTTGATTTTTGAATACATGTCAAAGCTAGTGGGAACATAAATGTTGCTAGTAACAAAATAATTGTTATGCTAGTGGGAGCATAATTATTATTGTTGCAGGGTTTGAAAAGTTGTTTTGCTATAATTAAGGGAGAGGAATTCATATTTCATTTCAAATCTAAAAGCTTAGATTGAGATTTTAATCAATTTTAGTCAAATATATATATATATATATATATATATATATATATATATATATATATATATATATATATATATATATATGAATGTTGTGTTGGAATGGTTCAACATAAGGAAATTCTATATATAGAAATGTTAATTGCGTTCTCAAATTTTGGTTATGATTACAACATCCATCTTCATAATCTAAATTTTAAGAAATGACAAATAGAAATATTGTAGTAAAAGAATGATTAAGTATCATGTCTGTATGTTAGACATTATGAATCGTATCCTATATGCTTCAGGTATAGGATCGATTGCATATTCTATAATATAACTCTTTTGTTCTAAATTTTCCAAATCCCTAGGGCATTAAGAGAGAAAAAGGAATA